CGCAGCTCCGCGCTGCGAGCGGCTCGGCGGCGCCTCGTCGGCGCCCTGAAGGCGCTGCTCGTGCCAAGCCTTGCTGTCCTCAAGGTCAGCAAGCGCGGGGGCGTGCACGTCTAGCTCCTCGAGCACCCGGCTGAGTTCGCGCCGTTCGCGGCCAGTGGCTTCTCCAGCGCCCCGTCCAACTGCAGCAGCTGGATGGCGCGACAGTGGCCGTTGTCGAACCACTCGCGCATACTTTTTGGACGCCCGAGATGGGCGCGGAAAGAATCGGCACAATGCCCAACAACCAACGTTGTCCCAAACCAACAGCGGCCACTGTTGGGCAGGCTGCCCTCTGTCTCAAATGGACACAAACCGTGGCGGCGCGGACAGCGAGTCCTGTTCAAAATGAACAGGAACTGCTGTTGGGCATTGTACCCATTCTTTCCGTACCCATTTCGTTCGTGCAGATACTTGCACGCAGCTTCCACTGGCGGCCGGGCCAGGGATCGACTCCGCGAGTCTGCCCCGAGCTGTCGGTGACCAGCTTCGGCGCCTCGCCTGCGACCCTCCGCCTGTAGGGCCCTCAGGGAGCCTCCAAGTGTTCGCGGCGGTCTGTCGCTGTCCGAAGCGCGCCAAAAGTCAGCCCTAGAGACCCTGTCGGTCTGGCGCCCAGCGGGTTGCACAGGCCCTCCCTGAGTGCAGGGTCCTCACGCTTGAGTCGAAGTCTAAGCTTCCGCCGGCTCGTTCGCAGTCCGTGAGCTTCCATGTTCCTCACTCGCTTGTTGGCGGGCTTGCCCTGGCTCCGTGCAGGTCGAAGTGCGACTGGATGTGATGAAAGGCTCTCGTGCCCTCCGGACGGCCGGCCCTGCGCCCGCGGGCCGGGTGCCCCCCGGGCGGCCCCGGGGGGGCGGGAGGGGCGGACGGTCCGCCGAGGTGGTGGCCCAAGCGGCGGCCCAGGTCCAGGCGGTGCTGCCCCCGCACCGGGGGCGGGCTCAACGCCCACTGTTGAGAACGGCCTGGCGGGCCGTTCTCAGCAACCACGGCCCGCTGACATGTCGCGGCGGCGCGCGCGCGGAGGATGAGGAGAGGAGAGGGGTCCCTTTCCCTGCGCTCGGGACCGAAAGGGCTGCAGTGCAATGCAACATGCTTCTGATGCTCTCTGCTACTGCTACTGCAACTGCTACCTACTCCCTGCTGCTACGTACCGCCTCCACCTATAGTTACACAGATCATGCTATGGGACTCAACACAGATGATCAAGAACCCGAATCGTGTTTGGACGTTCGGCCGTGGGCCGCAGCAGAAAAGCAACCAGATCCCATGGCCTGATCAGTCGCCCACGCCCTTCGCGAGACTTCGCAGTCAGCTGATGAGGGGACTTTCTGGATGTTTATGATTGGAGTTGGCTCGTGGACTGCAGTTAGTTGCTGCTATGGAATCCATATTGGACTTGTTTAGGCAACAGTATCCCATCTCATAGATTCACTCGTTGGTCCATGCTAGCCCCCCTTCCCCTGCAGCTGTGCAGGCTCGAAGGTCCGTAAAAGTATTGTATAACAGCCAAAAGCAGATGGATATTACCACATCTAATGATGGCCTTGGTCAGCAGCAATATCGTAGATACGGTGCTTGGCCACCGACGTGGCAGCCAGAGCAGAACGACCGCAATCAAGATCGTGATGGAGGCAGTACCCAGAAGAAGACGAACAAGGAAAACACATCGTTAGAGCAGCTCGAGCAGTTCAAATACCAAGGACAAGGTCAAGGACGCCAAGCGGCTTCTCCTGAAGCACAGCAAGCGCGACAAATAGATCGTGAAGTCCGAGGAGGAGGCTGCACGAACCAAGAAGTGAGTATGAGCGGCAGGGCAAGATCGTCGCAAACGCGATCGCCCCGCAGCTGTTTTCCGCCATCGCCACCAACGCGGTGCAAGCTGTCACCCTAGCGGCCGAGGGGAGTGCTGCCATGGTGCCAGCAGCGGCGGCCCCGCCGAACTTACCGCATCCTTTCCCGTTTTCGCCGCCGACAGTCGCCATGGTGCCCACTGCGCTGACGGCTACCATGCGTGTCTAGATCGTCGCGGAGTGTGGCCACGTGCTCAAGCTAGAGAGTGGCACGATGGAGGTGCTCAAGGAGAAGATCAACAAGAAGTGGTCGAACGTCAAGGTCTACAAATGCGTGGACCGCATCATCAAGGACGTGGGCCAAGGCGTAGCCCCCCCGAGGCCCAAGGAGAAAAGGATCGACACGCTCTTCGAGGTCGTCAAGAGCATGGCCTGAATCGCCTTCGCCGCAATCGAGTACGCAGTCCGCACTGTCATGTTCATCGCGGATGTGCTCTACTGTGTGGTTGCTCGTGACAGTATGCTCTATCCTGGGTATCGCTACGGGCATTGGGCTGCAAAGTGGAAGCTTGACATCACGGCACACGACTTGTCATGGAGAATGTAGGCTCATGTTGGTTTCTTACTTCACTGGAGGGGCAGTGTCTGTTGGAGCAGTGGGCATGGCAGCAGCCAATAACTTTTGAGAATCCTGGACCGAAGGATCAGGATGCCGCGTGTTGCAGGCCATCGGATATGGATCGTGAGCCGCTCTGGCACTCGGGCGCGTGTGAAGAGAGAGTCGCCTCTCCGGATGTTTGCTGCCCACCGTCTTGTGCAGCTCCCTGGAAGGCCATCATCTCTATAGTTTCCTGTGGGCTCAGGATGCTGCGCGGCACAGGCGCTCAACCGCGTAAGGTCTGGTCTCGCGTGAGCCATGCAAAGCACTGCAAACTGAAGCACCTTGCGCAGTGAAAGAAGTGGGCAGAAATCATCATCATCATCATCATCATCATCATCATCATCATCATCATCATCATCATCATCATCATCATCATCAGCATCATCATCATCATCACCATCATCATCATCATCATCAGCATCATCATCATCAGCATCATCATCATCATCATCATCATAATAATCATAATCATCATCATAATCATCAACATCGTCATCATTATCATCATCAGCGGCATCATCATCATCATCAGCATCATCATCATCATCAACATCATCATCGTTATCATCATCCTCATCATCATCTGCATCATAACATCACATCATCGCCATCTGCTTCATCATCATCGCCGTCATCATCATCATCAGCAGCAGCATCGTCAGGTTCATCATCACCATCATCAGTATCACCATCATCAGTATCAGCATCGTCATTATGATCATCATCATAAGCATCATCGTCTTCATGACCATCATCATCATCATCATCATCATCAGCAACAGTACCATCATCATCGTCGGCTTCATCAGCATCAGAAGAAGAAACAGCCGCAGCAGCATCGACAACGACACCAACAACAGCAACAACAAGCACCACCATAACAACCACAACAACAGCAACAGCAAAAGCAGCATCATCACCATCATCAGCATCATCAAAATCGTCAGCATCATCAACAACATATTCAGCATCGTCAGCAGCATCATCAGCAGCACCACCATCAACGTCATTACCAGCATCGACAGCAGCGTCATCATATTCAGCACGAGCAACGTCATCATCAGCAGCATCAGCATCAGTATCATCATCAGCATCGACAGCATCGTCATCGTCATTGTCATCATCGCCATCATCGAATTCATCATCACCATCAGCATCAGCATCACATCCATCGTCATCATCATCATTATCAGAATCGTCGTTGTAGGCATCGGCATCGTCATCCTCACCACCATCATCATCAACATCACGCTCACCATCGCGATCGCAGTCACGCAATCACACACTCACACACTTACAACATCAGCAGCATCATCATCATCAGCATCAGCATCAGCATCAGCATCAGCAGCAGCATCATCATCAGCATCATCATCAGCATCATCATCAACATCGCCACCACCACCGCGGTCATCATCATCAGCATCATCATCGTCGTCATCATGGGCATCATCAGCATCGATGCCCCGCGTACACTCACACACGTACGCACTCACGCAGTCACACACTCATACGCTCGTATTGCGGAAGTCCCGAGCAGGGGGGTCCTCTGTGGCTGAATTGCAAGGAAGTCTGAGGCGGGAGCCCACCCCCCCTTATGTGATCGGCGATTCATGCCTCTAACCCGAGGCTGCAGTCGGAATACTTGTAAATCACGCGGTGTTATCATCGAGTCGCCAGTCTCGCAGTCCTGAGTGCTAGAGCTCCGAGCCAACTGGATTCCACATCGTGCTCTGCGAGCTCCCAGGACTCCATTCCCAAGGCTGACGGTGCATGTCCTGAAGCAACTGTAGGCAACTTCGGTCTCTTCGTGCGCCGAGAACTCCTTTCCTGGGTTGGAAACCGCTTCAAACTTTCGACTCCCGGGATTGATGTTGCGCTCGCATCCTGACACCCCTGGCATCCGAACATCCCTGGCATCCTAGCTTGTTCCCCACGATGGCACCTTCCAACAAGCTTCTCACATGTCATCCACAAACTCGCATCGACAATCCAATCGCACTGCTACTGAATGTGAGACTAAGCCGACATGATGAGGGACAAGGAGGTGGAGAGGAGAGGAAAGGAGCGAACACACACACAAGCAAGCAGAAACAGGAGGGGGAGGAAAGAGGAAAGACTACTGGCGTCCTAGCATCACTTGTATGTTTGGTGTATCAGGCATTTTGGCATCCCTGGCACTATGGCATCCTGGCATCCTGGAACCCCTGGCATCCTGGAATATTGCCATGCTGGCATCCTGGCATCTTGGCCTCGTGGCTGCATGGCGTCATGGCATCCCTGGCATCATGGCATCTTGGTGTCCTGGCATCCTGGCATCCTGGCGTCCTGGCATCCTGGCGTCCTGGCATCCTGGCGTCCTGGAACTCTGGTGTCCTGGCATCCTGAAGTGCTGGCATCTCGGCACTCTGGCATCCTAGCATCATCACCATTGTATCGTTCGCCATCAATGGCCACGTACGTGTGCACCAAGGAGATTATCATGCGGGGTCCTACCGTCGGAGTAATATTGCACTTCGCCCGATCCCAGAGACCCCACCTCGCTGCTGCTTCTGGTCGACCCGTGCGTCGCACGACGCCTCGGGCCTCTGACAACAAAAAGTTCACAGGCGGAGCCGACATAAAAACTACGCAGGAAGGCGCCAACTGTACACCTCCTCCGTCTACGCACTCAAGGCCTCGGCAAGGAAAGCCCCAGCACCGATTCTGGGCCCAGGATCGGCCTGCATGCGACAAAGTCCTTCGTTGACGACGTGGATCCTGGTCTTTCGCGCACACACACACACACACCACGAACCCTGCAACATTGAAACAACTATCCGCTCTCGTGCGGATTCCGCGCTGTCCGTTACGTGTTCTGTGGGCTCCACGGCTCGAGACGGCCTTCGAGGGCCGCCAAAATGCCCCGAGAGGGGCGTCCAAAAGGCTTCCAAAACGCCTCCCGGGAGGCGTCGTAAGGGGCCTCCTGTCCACGACCCCAGCACGGTGGCGGGATGGGCCGAATGCCACGAGATGTTTTCTGTGGCCCCATGGCCCGAGACGGCCCTCGGCAGATTTTGGCCAGCGTGGACCCCAAACGCTGTGAGTATGACAACGTATGTGGTGCAATCTTCGTGGTGCAATTAATTTATGTTCGCTGTGAGTTGTCCACTCCACTGCTCGCGCAAACATCCCACCCACCCACTCACAACTTGGTTTGCAAAATCTCTGAAGACCGTGACGGTGGGTACCACATGGCACTTGGCAACAACAGCGACGCCGACGACGACAGCGACAACGACGATGACGACGCCGCCGACAACGACTACGACGACACCGACGACGTCTCCAACGACTTCGACGACGCCGACAACGACGACGACGACGACGACACCGACGACGACGACGACGACGACGACGACGACGCCGACGACGACGACGATGACAACGACGACGACGATGACGACGCCGACGACGACGATAACAACGACACCGACGACGACGACGACGTCAACGACGCCGACGACGACGACGACGACGACGACGACGACGACGACGACGCCGACGTCGACGACGACGAAAACGACAACGACGCCGACGCCGACGACGACGACGAAGACGACGACGACGTCGCCAACGAAGACAACGAGGAAGGAGGGAGGACGACGACGGCGACAACGACACAACGACGAGGGAGGAGGGAGGACGGCGACGACGCGAACGACGAAGAAGGAGGAAGGACGGCGACGCCGACGACGGCAACGACGAGGGAGGAGGGAAGACGACGACGACGACAACGACGACGACGACGACGACGACGAAATAGGAGGGACGACGACGAGACGCCGACGACGGACGACGACGACGACGAGGGAGGAGGAGGAAGGACGACCACGGCGACAACGACGACGGAAACGACCACGACGCCAAAGAGGACGACGACGACGAACACGAGGAAAGACAGAGGACGACGTAGGCGACGACGACGACGACGACGCGGGAGGAGGGAGGACGGCGACGACGACGACGACGACGCAAGAGCGCGCGCGCACGCTTTTGTTGAACATCCGTGTTGCGAAACCTTGTGTTTTTGTAGGTTTTTTGGACACACGATTTTGAAATCCTTCCGAAACCGATGGGTTTTGAAGGTTTTCGGCATACGCGCGCGACGACGCGCGCGCCTGCACTTCGTCCCATTTGTTGCAGGGGATTCTCGCGACGGCACACGCGCAAAGGCGTTCGACAGATTTTGACATGAGCGCGCGCGAAGCCCGTCTGGTAGCATGTTGTGGAATATTGAAAAACAAATGGTTTTCTGAAGATTTCGCAAGAGCTTTCGCGGAAGCTGGTTTAGCAACTCTGTGTTGCAAAACCCAATGTTTTTGTATGCGTTTTGGAAACTCGATTGCGAAATCCTTCCCGCACCGAAGCTTTTTGAAGGATTCCGGCATGCGCGCGCGACGACGCGCGCGTGTGCACTTCGTCTCATGTTTTGCAAAAGGATTCGTGGAAAAAACGCATGCTAGAACAAAAAATGTCACCGCATAGTGTTTTTTGAAACCAGGGAACCTCAGGGGGGGAACCCGGTTAGGCTGGGATGGTATGATTTCATATTTAGGATGGACGAGTGTGCAGTATATATATATATATATGAAATCATACTATCCCAGGGGGAGCCGATAAGTCCGGGGGGGGAGGGGGGGAGAATCCATTAATCTTTTAGAAAGGAGAATTCACCAACGCTCGCAATGAATTGCCAACACCACTTCTCGCGCAATCATCCCATCCATCCACCCGCAACTTGGTTTGCTAAACCCATGCGGCGGCGATTGCGCTGAGTGCTTGGGGTTGGCTGGCGCATCTCTGCGGCTGCGCTTGCCCGCACATGCTCGCGCGCGCAGCGGCCAGCCAATTTGGCGAGACCGACGCGGCCGAGGTGGCGCTGACCGCTGGGCACTTCCAAGCGGGCACCTCAGTGCGAGTCGGCGACTTTGGCGGGCGCGGTATCATGGCATCGTCGACAACGGCAGACACGATGATAGTAGTAGCGATGCTGGTGACGATGATGACAACGACGACGGCACGGCCAGTGATGGCGCCGATGCTTATCACACCGACGACGATGACGGCGTGTTTGCGTCGGTGATGAACGATGTGGAAAGAGTTCGACATGCGCGCGCGGCCGACGCGCGAAAGAAGCCCGCATGGTATAGTTGGCACAGATCGTGCCCCCAGCCCCAGCAAGCGCGCAAGGGCGTTCGAATGATTTCGACATGCGGCGCGAGAGGCCCTTTCTTCCCATTTGTTGCCTGGGGTTCTTGCGGCAGCACGCGCGCAACGGGCTTCAAACGATTTCGGCACGCGCGCGCGAGGACCATGTGGTAGCATGGAGTTTCTTAAGAATTCACGAAGCGAAGAAGTCGCAAGAGAGCGAACCCAGGTTTTGTTTGAAGACTCGTGCTGCGAAACCAAATGTTTTCCCGATGTGTTCGGGACACTCGACTTTGAACCCCTGACGAAACCATAGTTTGTTTGAAGGATTTCGGCTTGTGCGCGCGACGAAGCACGCGCGCAGTTCGTCTCAATGTTCGCAAGGGGTTTTTGAAAACTGCTGATTCATGAAAAACGAACGTGCGCGCACGGTATATGTTGCAGAGGATGAGGCGGGGGGATACCAGCCTGGCTGGGATGGTATGAATATCTATTTCGGATGGACGATGGCGCAGAATCAGACGCAAATTGCAATACGAAAAGGTGAGCGGTTAAGTCCTGGGAAGGGAGGTAGATCCGTTTACTCTTTTGGAAGAGAAAATATGTGTTGTGCAATATATGCGGTGCATTGTGTGCGGCGACGGGCCGGTGACGGCGGCAACATAGCTGCCAGACTGGCAGACAGACCCAGACGACGGGCGGCGACGAGGCGGCGACGGCCGCAGCATAGCCGCCAGACCGGCAGACAGGCCCAGCTCCTCAAGAAGAGAAGCAAGAACCCCAAAGTGCAAGCACTGCCTGAGGAGAGAAAGAGAACTAAGCACCGTGCACCCTCACCGAGCCTGGCCGGGCCCATCCGGAGACCACCAGCTGTGCACACGCCCTCCTCGGCTTGGCCGAAGGGACATGCACCGACCTGGGAGCCCAGGATTGGCCTGGCCAGGCTTCGTGCACGTGCAGGGCCCTCTTTCCCCAACTCGGCGGCAGCCCCGAGCGCCCAGCGCCGGCGTCGCCCGCCGCGCCGAGGCGGCGCGAGCCTGCCGCGGGCCTCCCGACGCCAGAGGCCTCCATGGGAGGTCTTCACGGAGGCCCCGCCGAGGTTCAGGAGCGTCAAAACACCTGGAACGTTTGACCCCGATCCTCGAGGCTCTGGTGGGCCCCGCAGGAAGAAGAAGGAAGGTCCAGGAGAAAGCGAGACGGAGGCCCAGCGAGCAAGAGTCCCCAGAGGCCCCTGGAGGCCCAGCAGAAGAGCGGAGGCGCCCAGAGATCTCGATCCCCGATTCCTGGGCCCAAGGTCGGCGGAGCCAGGGTCGGCGCACAGCCAGGTGTGCTGTCGGCGCCACCCAGGCTGCTGGAAGGGAACAAGGAAAGGAACGGCTCACCGCCTCCGCTCCACCAGCACTCGCGCGGGCGGCGAGGAGCGGGGAGTCACAAGATGAGCCATGGGGCAAGGAGGCGCACGCGGGGAAGGCGAGAGCAGAGAGAGAGAGAGAGGGCGAGGGAGAGGGAGAGAGACAGCGAGAAAGCAAGTGAGTCAGAGTGTAAGCGAGTCTGAGTGTGAGTGAGTCTGAGCGTGGGCGAAGAGGAAGGAGGCGGGAAGGAGGAAGGTAGGAGATGGAGGAATCGACGTATGATATGGTAGACCATTCAGTGGGCACCAGTAGGGGGATCAGCTGCAATCCGCCGGCCCCCTTGTGGGGCCACCAGGCTGTAGGACCAAGGCTTGCTGTTCCCTGCGCCAGTTCCACTTTCCAGTTTCCACTGTTACAATTATGATTATTGCGGCTTACTGTTTCTTGTTGATGGACCGCGCGAGGGGGTGAGCCGAGAAAAAACCTAGTTACCACGCCCGAATCGGATGCTCTGAATTCCTGTGGGGGAGCGTGGGACACGTAAAAATACATGGCATTCGCGCCCCCAAGGCCATAAAACCTCGTCAATTACACCATATTCGCGTCCCCGAGGCCATAGACCGCTCGTGAGTTACGCAATATTCGCGTCCCCGAAACCATAAGCCCTCGCAAAATACTCCATGTTCGTGCCCCCGAAGCCAGAACCCTTCGTAAAGTATGCAATACGTGCGTCCCCGAGGCCACAAACGCGCGTCCCCGAAGCCATAAACCTGCGTAAATGACGCAATACTTGCGACCCCGAGTCCATAAACCCTTGTAAATTACACAATGGTCGCGTGTCCAAAGCCATACACCCTCATAAATTAGACAACATTCGCGTCTCCGAAGCCATAAACCTTTGCAAATTACACTATATATGCGAGCCCATACACCCTTGTAAATTACACGCTATTCGCGCATCCGAAGCCATACTTGAAATACAACACCAAATTCACTAATATCACGAGAATCTCAACTTGTCTTGCCGATTACTCACAATCTTCGCGTGAAATCCCGACGATGCTTCACACCGGCGCCAAGGCCTCATGCTTTCGCTCTTGCATTGCCCATTATCCGAGAGAGGGGCCGGCGGAAGGGGGCGAAGCCCTTACGGATTAATCCCCAGACTTGAGAATCCAAGAATGCTGAGACTGCCCGCTCTGCAGTGCCTGCGTGTCGTTAAAGATGTGTGCCCAAACCCTCGAGACTCCAGCCTCCTTTGTTCATGAGCATACCCTATCTGGGAGACTTCTATCTGTTATTTCCAACAATGGTGCGTTGAGTTCTCGTTCTGAAAGGGGCTCGGCTGCCTTCTCCTTCATCCTTCGCGCCTCCCCTCCCCGCCTCCAGTGGGGTGCAAGTGGCAGCGTCAGGATTGAAGCAACTGGGGCACAATGAGTGCTTGTGAGCGATTGTCGTGCAACGGATTGCAAGATGATGGTGCGACTCTGTGCGCCGCTGGCCTCGTCAGGACCTTTTGTAGATCGTGTGGGGCCCATGCGTGGTCTTGGCGCGGATATGCACCGCACCCACGGGATGAGCTCTTGGGCCAAACACCACAAGCACCGTTGCACGTGCTGCGGGCTTACTTTCACCACCGATGTCTAGGATTCTCGAGAACGGTGCCGGGGTGAGACCCGCAAAAGACGGGAAAACCTGTCCCACATCAAAGAAGGTTTGTGCACGTACCGCTGCCCGGCTTGAGGATCCGATCGGGGGGTCCCCCGTCTAGCTCTGCTGCGACCGCTCCTGCGGCCGAGACGTCGCCGAGAGTACCTCCGAAGGTGTTGAGATCCTGGGGCGCTGCTGCAGGGAATCTCAACCAAGTGAAGGGGCGAGAACTGCGGAGGATAGCTCGCGTCTGGCCCAGCATCCAGATCTGCCGTTTGACAATGACTACTAATTGCATGTGAGGTAACAGGTGATGCTTTCAGGTGTCGCCGCCTGGTGATATCTGCTGAGATCGCCTCCCTCGTCGAGGCACGTGGTGACGTCAGAATGAATCCCTCGCTTGAATCCTCTCCTCCCGCCTCCTACCTGCCCCCTATCTCCTACCTCCTACCTGGGTGCTGCCACTTGGGCATCTTCGTGGGGCCCTGAAACCTCCTCTCGCCTCCCGCCTCCCGCCTCCTGCCTCCGACCTGCCTTTTTGGATGCTCTCTATATCGCCAATATCGCCTCCCTTAGTGGGCTGCCAACTGCGCAACTGTCGCGACTTTCGTGGGCCCGTGGGAGGTCCAGCGGCGTGGCCTTACTCGGATCAGAATGAACCTTCGCCCTCCCTGGGTGCTGCCAATTGCGCTGGTATAGTCATGTTTGTGGGCCCCATGGGAGCACGAGCGGAGTGGTGTCTTACGCAACTCAAGATGGGACCTTATCAACCCTCGGTGCTGCCAACTACGCAACTGTCGCCACTGCAGTGGGCCCCTGGGAGGTCAGATGAAGTGGCGCCTTACGCGGATCAAACTGACGACCTACCGGACCACCCCGGCCCAACCCAAAGACCCGAAACTGACCCGAATTTCGGGTTGGGGGGCGTACGGGTTCCATGTGCTTTTACGATGTTCCCCGACCCCCCCCCCCACTGGAAATGGAGAGCAGATTGAAGCCTTCGGGTTGGGTTGGGGTGGTTTGGTGGGTGGTGACAAACGGAGACATCGCCCTCCCTCGGTGACGCCAACTGCGCGACTGTCACCACGTTCGTGGGCACCCGGGAGGTTCAGCGGAGTGAAGCCTCACGCAGATAAGAATGAGACCTCTCCCTCCCTGGGTGCTGCCAACCGCGCCATTCTCGAAACTAGTGAGTATGGGCCCTGTAGAGGTCCAGCGGAGTGGTGTCCTACGCAGATCAACATGAAACCTCGCCATCCCTGGTGCCAACTGCGGCGCGGGCCCCCTGGAAAGTCAATCGAAGTGGTGTTCCACACAGATAATGAGCCCTCGCTCCCCTGGCATCCGGAAGAAGGACGAGCTGTGCGGCGACCGGCACGACTGCGAGCAGCACGACGGACGACGGCGGAACAACGCACGAAGTCTGGCAGCACAGTGGGGAGCAGCCCGGATGTCATCCTGGACTCGGACTGGGACGAGCAATATTATGAGCGCGCGGCTGTGAGCCTATCGTGTGAGGCGATCGGCGAAGGCAAGCCGTTGACCACCTTCTTTCATCCGCCTCTTCTTCCTCCCCTTCGCTCGTATCGGCAGGGGTAGGGTGGGAAGAGCCCTTGGTTCACGAACGTTCTTTAAACAACTGCACCCAACAAATCGAGTACGTACGGGTGTGAGTGAGCCTGAGAATGATTGGGAGAAGGAGGCGCGAGCGAAAGGCATCATACTAACGGCCATTGCCATAGGTAAGGGATATGGGAGAGATACTGAGAAGAAAACAGAACAGGACCAGGCGAAGACGAACAAACACGGGCAATCGACTGGGACTGGATAAGACCAAAAGGGTGAGGCCAGGCCTCTCTGAAATGCTAGCTACTAAGCATGGGGAAGTACGCACAGAGCACACGAGACGCATGACAAGCCAGGAAGGAGAGGAGGGAAAGAGGGGGAGGGAGGAAAAGCGCGGAGGGGAGAAGAGAGAGGGAGGAGCTACAGGAGAGGAGGGCGGAGGGAGGAGAGGAGGGCGGAGGAACGAGGAGGGAGAAGACAGGAGGTCCCCCTTCGAGAGCGAGCACCGCCCAAGGGCCGCCCGAGGCCGCCCGAGGCCGCCAGAAGGCCACAAGAGCGGGGCGACGAGCGGCGGCGGCGGCGACGGGCCCATGGGCGCCCGGAGGCCGCCCCCTCCACGACGCGGCGGCCGGCGGCGGGCGGCCTGCGGTGGCCGCCCCCGCGGCGCCGCCTCCGCCGCCACGGGCGCGGGGCTACGCCTCGGCGAGCGGCCCCTGCGGCGGCGGCGGCCGGGCGCGCGGGCGGAGGGGGAGGCGGGTCTGGAGCCCGCCCCTCCCGCGGGGAGCGGCGGGCGAGTTCGAGGAGCTCGTTCCGCAAAAGCAGCCCGCCTGCGCGAGGGTCCCGTTCAGCCTCTTGAGGCCCAGCTATTGGATATACGTCGGGGCGGCGCCCGTTTTCGATAGCGGTGCATCGGGACAGACCCCTGGGCCCGTGGGGTGTATAGACGAGTTCCCCACAGCGCTTCGTAGCCCCATAGGGAGCTCCACCGAAGGCCCCAATGCCCCCGTCCGCATGCATCCCGCGCACCCAGTACAGCGTTTCGTGGCCCCATAGGGAGCCCCACCGAAGGTCCCAGCGCTACCGTCCGCATGTGTCCCGCACACCCAGTACAACGTTTCGTGGCCCTCCTCCCCCTCCTCCCTGCGGTTCACCCACCCAGCGCAACGCTTCGTGGCCCCATAGGGAGCTCCACCGAAGGCCCCAGTGCCCCCGTCCGCATGCATCCCAGAATCCAATATTTGGCATTTTCACCCACCCACCCACCGTCTGGGCAAAGAGTGACCAGCCAATCCAAGTCCGGGCCCCGAGGTCGGCGCTGCTTGGAGCTATGAAGCTGCTCGCGCAACGGGGGCTCAGTAGAAACAGCCTGTGGGCTGACGAAAACACCAACACCCTCACCCTGGGCGCGGAAAAGGTTTTCGAGGTGGCGGTGGAGGAGGGCATCATGAAGCTCAGTTTTGGGACCGGGTGGGAGGACTATGTGAAGGAGGACAAGGAGTGGAAGGAGCTAGTGCGGACCCTGGTGTTCCATCGGCGGTTAGCGCGGAAGCGCCCTGGAGTATCGGGACCAGTGGGGCTTGCGCCCGACGCAGTTGGGATTGCTCCCGACGGAAAAGGAAATGGAGGGCCGAAGGTAGGCGTGTGAAATCCTCCAGTGCCTGCTCTGAAGTTCAGCAGCTAGCCGCGCCTCGGGTCCGTCTGAGCTGGGGGGGGGGTATCTGGGACACCCACACGGTCACCTCTAAGGCTCTCCAACTCATCACCGAGCCGTCGCGCCGTCGGAGAGCTCGGACGCGAGGCCCCGACGGATCCCTTACGGCGCATGCGCCGCTTGGGTTCCATCGAAGCCGCGTGCGAGATCGCGACGCTGGGTTCGGTGAACAGTGAGCTTTAAGGGCTGATAACCTGTGAAGGACAAGCTGCAGCGCGCCGGCACGGACAAGGGCAAGGGCAAGGGAAAAGTCGCTAAAGGCGCTCTGCGCCGATAGGGTCTTGCACGACATTTCGGTTTTCAGCATGACGGCCATCAGGCAGAAGGCAATGGAGGTCAAAATGGCCACCGTTATTCTTCTTCATGGCCATGTGTTTCACCATCCATGCACTGCTCTTCTTCGTCTTATTCTCCCTCTCCAGCCTGTCATGTACCAGACGGTTTTCGTCTGCAGCGAGGGCGCCCAGGACACTCTCGAGACCCTCGTCTGCGAGTTCCGGCAAAGTTATGCAGAATTACATCCTGGAATGTGGAAGGGCTCGGCATATCTAGCAACAGCGCAAAACTGGAGCAGATCATAAGTAGAATGAAAGATCGTAACATTGCTGTCATGTGCCTGCAGGAGACGCACGTCCCAGCCGCTCCATACTTCGTCCTCGACGGATTCCTGCTGATCTTATCTGGAGGGCCAGAGGGGGAGCGAGAACATGCCGGAGTGGGATTTCTCATATCGCCTGGGTCCGGCATGCCATCATGGGATTCATACAGCACAGCAACAGACTGGCCAGCGTGAAAACCAGAGTTCCCGGCGGCTCCATGGCAATAATCTCGGCGTATGCCCCCCAGTCTGGAATTGCATTCGAAGAACGGCACGACTTCTTCGGTGATTTACATTCGCTGACTACGAGCATCAGCGTGCACGGCCCCATCTACACGTTCGGCGACCTCAACGCGCGACTCCCGAACGGGAGCCACCAGGAATCGAATTGGCGCCACGAGCAACCAGCACATGTTGATTGAACATTGCACGTCCCTGAATTACATAATCGCGTACACGTTCTTCGACAGACCCATGCAAGAGAAGGTAACGTACTTCGACTTGAGCGCTTCTCCAATGAACGCTCCGACCCCAGCCAAGTTTGCAGAGATAGACCACATCTTAGTGCACAGGCAGTGGCATGATACAGTTACTGACGTCCGATCTGACCGCAGTATTGGATTTGCTTCCCACCACTTCCTGGTGACAGCCGCTCTGAGCATAGATATCCCGAAGACCCCGGCAAAGCAACGGAAGACGACGAGCGATTTGGATTCGCTCAAACGGCCCTGGGTGCAATGTGAATTCGCCGCCGCCTTTGTAAACGCCGCCGCTCAACACATTGATGGCGACACCGGGTTGGACGACCAGGCCGGAGGGCTCGCAACCACTTTCAAGACAGCAGCGGGAGAGCGTCTCGGACAACAGCCCGTGCAGGCGCAACGACCGTGGATTCGTACGGCCACGCTGGATTTGATTGCGCTCCAGAACCAGGCGCGCGTCCACAACCAGTACGAGTTGGAGAAAGCGTTGACCAGACAGGTCCGTCAATCATCGCAGCGGGATCGGAAGGCTTGGCTCGCGGACATGCTCGGCAGTGGCGAATGGAGTAATTTACGGAAGTTCAAGCGCTTGGGCGTGCAACCGCAGGGCCGTCTAAGGAACGCCCAAGGAAAACTGGTGGAGAGCACAGATCGGCCGGACACCCTGGCTGCCTACTACGCCGAAGTGCAGTGGATGCCGAGACCTATGGGCAACCCTCTCCCCAGTGGGCCAAGGCTGCACGAACCGCTGCATGCCTCGTCTGCCAACTTCTAGGCTGCTGAGCTGGACGCCGTCTTGGGGAGATTGAAGATTGGAAAAGCGGCAGGCACCGACGACGTGCCCCCGGATGTCTGGAAATCTCTCCGAGATCAGCCAGACGCATGCGAAGTTATACTGGACATGTGCAACAGTTGCTGGCGGCAAACAGCCATTCCTCAAAGTTGGCGGCATTCTGTCGTAACGGCGATCTCTCCCAGAAAAACTATGGACCTATCTCACTGCTCTCAGTCGGCTACAAAGTCCTAGCATCGCTCATTCTGGGCCGCATCGTAAGTAGTGGAGCTGAGAGCCGCCTCCGAAACACGCAGTTCGGCTTCAGGGCCAAGCATAGCTCAACGGACGCCGTCTTCCTCATGCAGCGGTACATCGAAAGGGCATGGTCGACCAGGGACGGGTCGCTGTCCGCGATCCTCTTGGACTGGTCAAAGGCATTCGATCGAGTCGACCCCGCAGCGATGCACGTTGCTCTGGCGCGCTTTGGGTTGCCAGACCACTACTTAGCGATGATTTCTGCAATATACAACAACCGAACGTTCGAGGTGCGGGATCGACAGGGCTCGTCCGCGGTCTACTCGCAAGGCACGGGCATTGCGCAAGGGTGCCCGCTAAGCCCATATCTGTTCATCATCGTTCTCACTGTGATAATGGCTGATGTAGACGAGGATGTTCAGGCGGCCCTCGGACCGGCGTCGCCGTCTGACATCAACGCCGACATTGAGTACGCGGACGACACTGCTTTTATATCAGACAACATCCCACGTCGGCAATACGTCTTGGAGAGATTGTTGCATCGAGCCGGCATGTATGGACTGGAACCGAACTGGTCCAAAACGGTCCACCTGCAAATCCGCCACAACGTGGATGTGGTCACGCAACAGGGCGCGCTGATCAACCCGGTGAACAGCGCCATCTATCTTGGCAGTCTACTGAAGGCAGATGGGGCTCCAGGGGCGTCCATCGCGCGCAGGCTCGGCGAAGCCACAGCTGCTTTCAAACAATTGCAAGGTGTATGGAAACACGCGAACACTTCGCGTGACAGGAAGACTGAGATGTTCAATGCGTGCGTGGTGTCGAGGTTGTTGTACAGTTTGGAGACGCTTTGCCTCCGCCAAGCTGACAAGCAGAAGATCGACGCCTTCCAGGCCCAGTGTCTCCGAAAGATTTACGGCGTGCCACATTCAATGATCTCGCACATACCGGATGCGGACGTTAGGCGGCAAGCCCGGGGCGGCCGCGGACAGTCGGCCTGGCCAGCGGCAGCGCTGACCGGCGGCAACCCGACCCCAAGAGGGGCGAACATGGGACCGACCACGACAACGACGACGACGACGACGGCGACGACGACGACGACGACGACGACGAGCGAAAGCGAAAACGAGAGCGACAGCGAGAGCGGGGCCACGAGGGTCAACAGCGGGACCACGAAGGGCATGCGTATGGGGCCACGGCGGGCGCGAACGATAATGCGGGGCCGCAGAGGGCGAGGATGGGGCCATTAAGGTTAGCAACGGGGCCACGTAGGACAGCAAGGGAGCCACAAAGGGCGACAGCGGGGCCACGAAGGGCATGCACATGGGGCCACGCAGGGCGCGAACGAACGGGGGCAACAAAGGGCATACGTATATTGGGCCGCGGATGGCAAGGACGGGGCCGCTGAGGGCAGCAACGGGGCCACGAAGGGCAGCAAGGGGGCCGCGAAAGGCGGCAGCAGGGCCACGACGCGCATGCATATGGGACCGCGACAGGCGCGAATTGGTGAAGCCCTTGAAAACGAAGGGTAGCAGATAACGGGGGAGAATGAGGACGATGGGATCGGAGGAAGGGAGGGGAGGGGCAATAAAGAGGGCGGACGATGATTTGCGCTGCGAGTGGCGAATCAGATTGCGCCATGGCTTGCGCCAGCCACTCCAACACAGGTTAACAAGAAGTTTCGCCATGGGCCGCGCCATAAACAGCGCCACGTAGCACCCCTTTTTATATATATATATATATATAATATATATATATATATACATATATATACAAAAACAAAAAATGATACCCCCACGGGGGGACGTACAGCTGCGAACTGGTGTCAGAAACAAATTTCGTACAACCCTGAAAAGAAGCGAGATGTTGGGAGAGTGGGGCGGCAGGACCGTGAGAACTTCAACCGTGTTGAGAGGAGCGCGAGCGGGGGCCACGAAGGGCAATTCATCGGAGGCCACAGAGGGCAGCGACGGGGCCGCTGAGGGCAGAAACGGGGCCACGAAGGGCACAGAGGGGGCCACGAAGGGCGACATCGGGGCCACAAAGGGCATGCATATGGGGCCACAACGGGCGCGAACGAGCGGGGGCCACGAAGGGCATTCGGATATGGGGCCACAAAGGGCGACAGCGGGGCCACTGAGGACAGCAGAGGGGCCACGAAGGGCAGCGAGAGGGCCACGAAGGGCGACAGCGGGGCTACGAAGGACATGCGTATGGGACCACGACGGGTGACTGCGAGCGGAGGCCACGAAGGGTTTTTAATGTGGGGCCACAGTGGGCAGCGACGGGGCCACTGAAGGCAGCAACGGGGCCACGAAGGGCAGCGAGCGAAGGCGACCGCGGAACCTGCACGGGCAGCGAGGGGCATCGAAGGCGGGCGAAGGGCAGCGAGCGGCGACTGGAGTCCCTAACGGGCTGGTCGGGCGGGCAGGCCCAAACGGGCGGGTCGAGCGGGCGGGTCGTTGAAGCGTAAATTCTGCTTGAACCGCCAGGCAATATGCAGCTGGAGCGCGATTCCTGAGTGTCGAAGAGCGGCATCTGAATAAATTGTGATGAAGTATATGGCGGGAACCGCGATCCGGTGGTAAGTTGCGAGGAAGTCCCAAGAGAGAGCGCGATTCTTCAATAAATCGTAAGGAAATATCAGGCGGGAGCCGCGATTCGGTGGTTACGAGGAAGTCCCAAGCGAGGGCGCGATTCTTCGATAAATTGTAAGGAAATATCAAGCGGGAGCCGCGGTTCGGTGGTAAATCCCACCAGCCCTTTGGGCGTGAGTGCTTTAGAGAGCCCGCTCTGTCCTCAACCCCCCTTCTTCCCCTTCGGGGAGGGGTTTACTCCTCCCCCTACCCCCTCCCCCTGGGCCTGGAGAGGGGGTCCGGCGGGTCGTCAGGGGGGTCAATTTCGACTCCTGGGAGGGCTAAAAAACTACGACCCTCACGAAGATTCTCGCCCCGACGGGGGGCCGGAGATAAGTCCCTCTCCTGTTCTGCGAAGCCACAAACATTGATTTTACTAGGGTTTTGGCCCCATTTTGGACTTCTGAGGAGGCAGCGCTCATGAAAGCTCCCCTTTTCCTGCAAGGCAAAATCATTGATTTTACTAAGGTTTGGGGCTCATTTTGCCCTTCTGAGGGGTCCGCGCTCATTAAAGCTCCCCTCTTCTTTAATCGATCTCCTCCAAGATGGCCCCAAGAAGCGCCCAGGAGACACCAAGAGGCCCCATGATGGCCCCAAGAAGCCCCCAGGAGACCCCCAAGAGGCCTCCAAGAGGCCCCCAAGATGCCCCCAAGAGACCCCCAAGAGGCTTCAAGAGGCTCCCCCGAGGCACCCAAGACACTCCTGGAAGCCCCTGGGGCCGCCAAGAGGCCCCCAAGACGCCCCAAACGGCCTCCAAGAGGCTCCCAAGAGGCCCGAAGAGGCTCCCCCAAGGCACCCAAGACGCTCCTAGAAGCCCCTGGGGCCGCCAAGAGGCCCCCAAGACGCCCCAAAAGGGGACGAGGTGCCCGAACGCCTCACGCCACGAGGAGCCCGAACGACTCACACCAGGACGAGGGGCCCGAACGACTCACACCACGAAGAGCCCGAACGACTCACACCAGAAGGAGGGGCCCGAACGACTCACACCAGGACGAGGCGCCCGAACGACTCACACCACGAGGAGCCCGAACGACTCACACCACGACGAGGGCCCCGAACGACTCACACCACGAGGAGCCCGAACGAGTCACACCAGGAGGAGGGGCCCGAACGACTCACACCAGGACGAGGGGCCCGAACAACTCACACCACGAGAAGCCCGAACGACTCACACCAGGACGAAGAGCCCGAACGACTCACACCACGAAGAGCCCGAACGACTCACACCAGGAAGAAGGGCCCGAACGACTCACACCAGGACGAGAAACCCCAAACGACTCAAACCACGAGGAGCGCTTTCTCTCCCTCCTCCTCCGCCTCGTCCTTCTCCCGCTCCCCCCACAAGGAGGATGTACAAGGAGGCGGGAGGAAGGAGGAACAGGGGAGATATGCGGGGCCAAGCGGACACACGCCTGAAAAACACGACTGTCGGCATGCTTCGCGAGAGTTGCTGCTGTGAGATGGGCTGGTGGGGATACGCGAAGCGTAAAGAATTGAAAGGAAGTCCCAAGCGAGAGCGCGATTCTTCAATAAATTGTGAAGAAATATCAGGCGGGAGCCGCTGTTGTTGTAAACCGGGGGCCAACAATGCAATTTGACCCTCAAGACCTTCTCTGATAAAACCAAGTGCGAGCCCCGGCAAGGGCACTTTCATCAAAAAAAGCATGTGCACCGGACGGGGGGGATCGACTAGAATTCTTCCTCAGAAATGAGAGTTCAACAACAACAACAACAACAACATCAACAACAACAACAGCAGCAGCAGCAGCAGCAGTAGCAGCAGCAGCAACAGCAACAGCAACAGCAACAACAACAACAATAACAAAGAACGTGCGCGGAGCTAAGGCAAAAAAAAAAAAAACATGTTGAAAACGAGGCGCCCTGCACTCTCTTGCGCGGCGATAAAATATGATGGGAGAGCTCCATCCAGAACGCTGCTTGAGATATCAAAATTCAGGATCTTGCGTGGCAAGAGGGCCTCAGGCGAGACGCCGGGCCCACCCTGCCGACACGTCTGGTGGTATGACGGGGAGGAGCGACGGAAGAGGAAGGAAGTGAGGAGGAGAACGACGAGGAGGGGAGGCAGGAGGACGAGAGGGCGCAGGAAGACGAAGAGGCCTGGCGCTGCCAGTAGCCCCCGTCCGAGAACTCGATGTCACCGTTTTCCTTCACCGCGCCCGTGCCCTCGAACGTCTGCACCTCGAGGGGCCGCCGCCGCCGCGGGCCTCCGCCGCCGCCGCCGCCGCCGTCGGCGGCGTCGTCGTCGGTCGTCGTCCGTCGTCGCCCGCTCTCGAGCTCGAGTTTCTGCGCCTGGCCGGGCCGCAGCCGCCTCTTGACGGTCGGAGATGGACGCTAGCGCATCGAGGCTCCTTCGAGGCTCCAAGATCGAGGATAGACGTGCGAGGATCGACGGTCGAGGATCCACGTTCGAAGGCCGAAGATCGACGACCCTTCGAGGCTACTCGTTCGAGGATCGAGGATCGGCGCCCGAGGATCGACCAGGGGGGGCCGCCAACGCCTCTCGACGGTCGAGGTGCGAGGTTCTTCACCAAGCAGGGTTCCCCTACAAGGTTCACCGCCTCTCGACGGTCGAGGTTGGACCACAACGATGGGTGCCGGGCCTGCGCAGGCCGGCTTTCCCCCGGGATTGCTGGGTCTTGCTCTCGTACAGCAATGAGGCAGCGCACAGCAACGCAGCACAACGCCGAGAAGCGCAACGCGACGCCAAGCAAAGCGAGAAAATGCCAAGCAACGCAAAGCAACACCCAGTTACGCCAAGCAACGACAAGCAATGCGTAGCAACACCAAGCAACGCCAAGCAACACCAAGCAGCAACGCCAGGCATGCTGACTTTCATCCTCAAAGACGTTCCCCCCAATTGGGGGCGCTGGGTTCATTTTTGCTTTGATGCCCTTCCGTAGACCTCCGCAGGCCTCGGACCAACGTGAACCCTTCTCTGGTATTGAACATCTCACGTTTTCCCCAAACCATCCTGTGGTGTTGGGTCCTGATTTTGAAGAGACGGTCCACGCGTTCCTTCCTCTCCTTCCTCTCCTCCTTCCTCTCCTCCTCCTCCTCCTACTCCTCCTCCTCCTCCTCCTGCTCTTCCTCCTCCTCCTCCTCCTCCTCCTCCTCGTCCTCATCCTCATCCTCATCCTCATCATCATCATCAGCAGCATCAGCATCAGCATCAGCATCAGCATCAGCATCAGCATCAGCATCAGCATCAGCATCAGCATCATCATCAGCATCAGCATCAGCATCAGCATCAGCATCAGCATCATCATCATCATCATCATCATCAGCATCAGCATCAGCATCATCAGCATCATCATCATCATCATCATCATCATCATCATCATCATCATCATCATCATCATCATCATCATCATCATCATCATCATCATCATCATCATCATCGCTCCTCCCGTCACCCCCCTCACCTCGGCACATCCCTCACACGCTTCGCGGCCCCATAGGGAAATACACCGCCGAAGGCCCCAGTGCTACCGTCCACATGCGTCCCCCACGCCCATTTCAGCACCCTTTTCACACGCTTCGCGGCCCCATAAGGAGCTCCACCAAAGGCCCCAGTGCCACCGTCCACATGCGTCCCCCACACGCCCATGTCGGCACACCCCTCACGCGCTTCGTGGCCCCATAGGGAGCTCCACCGAAGGCCCCAATGCCACCGTCCACATGCGTCCCCCGCACCCATGTCGGCACACCCCTCACACGCACGTTTCGTGGCCGCATAGGGAGGCTCCACCGAAGGCCCCAGTGCCACCGTCCACATGCATCACCCACGCCCATTTCGGCACACCTCTCACACGCTTGGTAGCTCCACCGAAGGCCCCAGTGCCACCGTCCACATGCGTCCCCCCCCACCCATTTCGACACTCCCCTCACACGTTTCCAGACCCCATAGGGAGCTCCAGCAAACGCCCCAATGCCACCGTCCACATGCGTCCCCCCCACCCGTGTCGGCACACCCCTCACACGCTTCGTGGCCGCGTAGGGAGCTCCACCGAAGGCCCCAGTGCCACCGTCCACATGCATCACCCACGCCTATGTCGGCACACCTCTCACACGCTTCGTAGCCCCATAGGGAGCTCCACCGAAGGCCCCAGTGCCACCGTCCACATGCGTCCCCCGCACCCATTTCGACACTCCCCTCACACGTTTCGTGACCCCATAGGGAGCTCCACCGGAAACCCCAGTGCCACCGTCCACATGCGTCCCCGCACCCATGTCGGCACACCCCTCACACGTTTCGTGGCCCCATAGGGAGCTCCACCGAAGGCCCCAATGCCACCGTCCACATGCGTCACCCACACTCCTGCCGGCACCCCTCTCACACGCTTCGTAGCCCCATAGAGGATCCACCAAAGGCCCCAGTGCCACCGTCCACATGCGTCCCCCCACACTCATTTCAGCACACCCCTCACACGTTGCGTGGCCCAATAGGGAGCTCCACCGACGGCCCCAGTGCCACCGTCCACATGCGTGCCCCACACCCATTTCGGCATACCCCTCACACGCTTCGTGGCCCCATAGGGAGCTCCACCGAAGGCCACAGTGCCACCGTCCACATGCGTCCCCCGCGCCCATGTTGACACACCCATCACACGTTTCGTGGCCCCATAGGGAGCTCCACCGAAGGCCCGAGTACCACCGTCCACATGCGTGCCCCACACTCAATTCGGCACACCCCTCACACGTTTCGTGGCCCCAAAGGGAGCTCCTCAAGAGGTCGCAGTGCCACCGTCCACATGCGTCCCCCACACGCCCACTTCAGCACACCCCTCACACGTTTCGTGCCCCATAGGGAGCTCCTCCAAAGGCCCCAGTGCCACCGTCCACATGCGTCCCCCGCACCCGTGTCGGCACACCCCTCACACGCGTCGTGGCCGCGTAGGGAGCTCCACCGAAGGCCCCAGTGCCACCGTCCACATGCGTCCCCCGTACCCATGTCGGCACACCCCTCACACGCTTCGTGGCCCCATAGGGAGCTCCACCGAAGGCCCCAGTGCCACCGTCCACATGCGTCCCCCGCACCCGTGTCGGCACACCCCTCACACGTTTCGAGACCCCATGGGCAGCTCCACCAAAGGCCCCAGTGCCACCGTCCACATGCATCTCCCCCGCACCCATGTCGGCACACCCCTCACACGCTTCGTGGCCAAATAAGGAGCTCCACCGAAGGCCCCAGTGCCACCGTCCACATGCGTCCCCCGCACGCCCACTTCAGCACACCCCTCACACGTTTCGTGGCCCCATAGGGAGCTCCTCCAAAGGCCCCAGTGCCACCGTCCACATGCGCCCCCCGCACCCGTGTCGGCACACCCCTCACACGCGTCGTGGCCGCGTAGGGAGCTCCACCGAAGGCCCCAGTGCCACCGTCCACATGCGTCCCCCGCACCCATGTCGGCACACCCCTCACACGTTTCGTGGCCCCATAGGGAGCTCCACCGAAGGCCCCAGTGCCACCGTCCACATGCGTCCCCCCCCACCCATTTCGACACTCCCCTCACACGTTTCGAGACCCCATGGGCAGCTCCACCAAAGGCCCCAGTGCCACCGTCCACATGCGTCCCCCGCACCCATGTCGGCACACCCCTCACACGCTTCGTGGCCAAATAAGGAGCTCCACCGAAGGCCCCAGTGCCACCGTCCACATGCGTCCCCCGCACCCATGTCGGCTCACCCCTCACACGTTTCGTGGCCCAATAGGGAGCTCCACCGACGGCCCCAGTGCCACCGTCCACATGCGTGCCCCACACCCGTTTCGGCATACCCCTCACACGCTTCGTGTCCCCATAGCATCCGCACCCCCATCCTCGCTCTTGAGCATCAGTAGTTTTGGATTCGCATGCGTATCCTGAGAGCATCCTTTGACTCTCTCGCTGCTGATGAAAGCTTCTGAGTGAAACCGATCCTTCTGTGTTTAGGCGCCGCAGGCATCGGCGGAAAAGGTGGTAGGGCCCCTGTCGGGCCCGTGGCTGCCGAGATCGTTGGAGAAGGATCCGCCCTCTCATCTGCTCCTGCAGCCCCTCCGTCTGCCGTAGTGCCGCCACCGCCGTCTAGGGAGAGCTTATCGGGCAAGGTTTGTTCCCTAAGGCATACAGTAGAGCCGAGCTCGATAAGAAGGCCCACAAGGGGTCGTGAGGTTGTTATCTGGACTTCGTCCTGGCACTCCTGACTGACTTCTCCTCCTCCTCCTCCTCCTCCTCCTCCTCCTCCTCTTCCCCTCGCCACCCCGCGGGCCCTAGGGATGGCCCGAAGAGGCCCTCCAAGGCCACACCCTTGCTTTCAGAGATATCTCTGTTCATCCTGGTTGCACGATTTGTTGTACTATATGTCTCTCTATGCCTCGTGTCACGTCAGCTCTCATTGGGGGATGCGCCAAGGGTGAAGAAGTGTAGGGAAGTATCGAACGGGAACCATTGTCGTCGCAGTTAGGCCTCCATCAACAATTTGCCTGATTTACGAAGAAGTCTCAAGCGAGAGCGCCGGGGATCATCGAGCGGGAACCGTTGACGTCGCAATTGACCCTTCAACAACCTGGGCTGGTATCCGTAAAACGATCGACGACCAAAGTCAAAGACGACGGCCACGAAAACAACGACGACGAAACGCCCATAAACCCCTCACGGGGGGCGAGGCGACCCCAATCCCCGACTTTGTAAGGATTTCGGCTGGATTCTATATGAAGGCCAAGTTCGAGATGTACGATGGCGGCGTCCACACTCGATGGAGGTGTGTCCAAAAAGCTCCTCAGATGTGCACCCCCGAATTTTCTCTCTTTTCTGAGCGGCCAGCTCGGGGGGGGGAACTCGGGGATTGGAGGGCGAGAACTCGCCTGCGAACCTCCGAAGCGAAGACGCCAACGTCGTCGTCGTCGACGTCGGCGGCTGCGGCGGCCTGCACCGTGGAGCCCTCGACGCTGCCGGTGTTCCTGAAGGGCCCCAGCTCCACGACCAAGTCGCACCCGCTCTGTTCGATCTGCCGCCGAGGGCAGGATCAGCCAACAAAATCACGGTGCACTGACTCAATACTCATATTTCGCCCAGTAAAGCTTGGTTCGGCTGGCGTCATCCCGTTTTGCTGTTTCACTCTGGCAGACTGTGTTCCCATCTCGATGGGCTGGCGGGGACGCGCCAGGAGTCCACAAACTCACACGGTGGACGTTATTACCTGAGACACGATCAACCAGCATCGAATATGGAAATCGGATCGAATGGAAATGAGCGTCGGATGGGGCGGCCTCGGCACGGCCGCGCCAAAATGCACAACAGCGTCATGGAAACATCAGGCCCAATCCAATCGTCGGAATACCGGAATCGAATCGGATCAAGCGGAAAACGATATCAAATCGGATCGATTGGACGAAATTGGGCGTGGAGAGGGGGCACCAGGTCGCGCTTTTCGCCGCTAGATTGTCCGATGTATGTTCGCCGTCTTGGTGTTTTGGTCCTCTGGGAGAGTTCCCGTCGTCATGGCTGGATTCTTCGGATCTGGCCGGAGTGCATCCCAACAGGTCTGGGGGTAGATCTTTTGAGGGGGCTCCAAGACCTCTGGCGGATTGATTGTGTCGGCTGCGGCGTTTACCCTCGACTTCGGCATCAGGCGGGCCGATCTCGGTTCTGTGGCCATCGAATATAGACGCCCGCCGGGCCCCGCACACTGGACAAAAAACGCATCGTCTGATATTTTGCGGGGGAGGAGGGCGAGAAGGGATGTGAAATAAGGAAGAGGGCAGAAAGATGGAGCGATGATATATATATATATATATATATATATATATAGGATGATCGGCCACAAATGCCGCGCGTGTCCACATACGAATGTGGCGCCAGTGAGTCGCCGCTAACGCGTTCATTGATACACTCTCGCTGCCGGCGCTTCCCTCGTGGGCGTCGCGCCAAAGGACCGCGCCTGGACTCTCAGGGCCCTCTTGGGCCGTCGGGGGGGCCAGCCCATGCGACCAAAATCAGAGACCTGAAGATGCTGCATGATTTCTGTGCACTCGGGATTCTCGTTTACGGAGCGCCCAAGACGATCCAAGAGGCCCCACATACCCACTCAAGAGAGCCGTAAAGGACACCCAGAGGGGGCAATACCACAGTGGACCCATAGAAGGGCCCAAAAGGAAGAATTCGAACTGCCACACCGGGCCCTCCTCCACCGCATCGCCCACGGGGCAGCAACCAGACCCGCGAGAGGCCCTCGAGACACCCCCAGAGGCCTCAAAGAGGCCCCAAGAAGATCCCAAAAGGCCACCCAGAGGCCTCCAAATGGATTTGGGGATAAAATGACGCTTGGGCCAGCCATCGTTTTCGGTAGATGGGCCCCGGTTCGCCTGCGAAGGCGGCCGATTTCCCTAGGCATGCGTGTTGCTCATGAAAAAATAAATAGCTATAGCCGCACGCAGTCGACCAACGAGACGACGGAGGAGGGGGGGGGGGCGCGCGAGCGGCCCTTTTTCCTCTGCGCCGCTCGGCAACCATAAATGACGCGGACGGGGAAAAAACGCAAACCCAAGCCCCTTCCTCGATCCCCGGGGGGACTGGAGAGGGGAGGCAGAAAAAAGGGGGGGGCCAGGAGGGATCCGAGGTCCCCGAAACCCAGCGTGGGCACCGCTCAAAATAAAAACGAACCGAAAGCGCAAGGTAACGCACACACACACACACACACACAAACAAACAAACAAACAAACAAACAAATAAACAAACAAACAAACAAACACCGCCCAAGAAGCCCTGGAAGGGGGCTCTTGGGAACGAGCTCACATGAGGGCCCCACCCGCGAAAACACGAGCGGAGGAAAGCCCAGGACACAAAAATAGGCGCATGATGAGGGGGGGCAGAGGGGAACGCTCCGCCCCCCAGGGTGGCGGGGCGGGGCGGCCGTGGTCGACCCCAAAGTTATAGAAGAAGTGCAAGGACTTCCCGTTGAAGGGAGTGACGAAATTCTTGCTGCCGCGGAACACCCAGTCCAAGAAAGACGGGAAGGCAATGGACTTGAACGCCATCGCTCCGCGGTGGCGCGAGGGTGCAATAATGGAATAAATGCATAAACAAGTCTACCATTGGGCGGGCGTCAGCTTTCGCAGACGCCTAACGACGGCTCTCAGCATCGCGAATCCGCCTGCTGCAATCCCAGCTACACGTTGCTTTCCACTCGCTGTTCCACCGACCGTTTCCCCCGTTGGGAGGTGGCCGATGCCCCCACGGGCGCTGGCCACCTAATAAGTGTTCGCGCCCCGCGGGTTCGAGCGCGGCTGCGGGACATCCTGGGCTCGAGGCCGCCGCCTGCGCCCAAGCATCGGCACGATCCTGGCGACCCGGCAGCTGCCTGCGGACCATGCCTCCCGTGATGTCCTGCCCACAATTTACCTCGCGGACAGGCCCACTGGTTCGGAGAAGCCGACAAGGAGCATGGCTCCTTTGGCGGTCCGCTGCCGACTCTTTTGGAGGGCGGAGTGGCCCCTGCATACCCCGGAGTAGAAGCGCCGGCGGTCCCGATTGGCGATCCTAGGTGTAGCTAGAGACGTTCGGGCAATGCCACGCAGGCTCGGCGCCAGGTCTTGCCGGCGCGAGCGCAGCGTTAGCTTTCGCCGCCGCGGGGCCTCGTCCACTAGCCCTCGCGGGCGGCGGTATACCTTTAGCGGTCGGATTGTCGATCTTCCAAGGCGCGCTGGACGACGACGTCCTCTGCTTAACGGGCGGCGGCATTGGCGGCTGGTTGATAATGCGTTTCGGCTGTGCCGCGTCTGCTTTGGGCGGGCGCGCGCTAATGCGTTCGCCGCCCTTGGCGAATTGCGCTGCCTGTCGCAGCGCCGCTGCTCCCCCCGGGCCCCCGCCCTTGGCGGCTAGCGCAACGCGCCCCTGAGCAGCGCTCTGTTGCCTGGACTCGCTGCGCAGAGCAATGGGCCACACACGCGGCCCCGCGAGACACGGGGGGGGGGGGGCGACGTGATCAACTGCTTGAGCGTCACATGCATCGACCAGAGGGCACTACTGACGGCCCCTGGGCCAGTCCGACGTTTTGCATCCGTTAGACCACGCCCCCGCTTGAATCGACTCCCGCCACGCGCTGCCCCTGCCCCGCCGGGCAGCCATTGAAGCGCAGCCCTTGTATTCGGCGCGACGAATTGTTCTGCCGAAGCACACGGGGGCCCCGCCGCCGCGAGACCCCCCCCGAAGGGCGAGACGTTCACCCGCGGCCCCGCGGACGCGACCCGATGAAACCCACGACCGCCCGCGCCTTCTGTCGCGGGGGCGCGACGCCCGGGACAAACAACGCCATCGCCATTGTTGACGGCGTCGGTAACGCGCACTCTGCGCACGGGGGACGCAGCGCCGCCTCTTCGATGGCGCGCAAGCCAAACTATTGCATTCGAATCGCCCCTGGCTCTGCGCGCGCTGTTGCGATTTGCCGATGTTTCGCTTCGCGCCCCGGAAGACCTGTTTCTCTTTCGCTCTGGGAAGCGCCCCAGCACGCCCGAAGAAGTTTACAACGTCCCCAGGAGAGATTTCGAGAGCGCCACCTTGCGCCGACGCAAGCACGGCGTCATCTTCCGCCTACGCCGACGCCATCTCCTCACGTCCGGGGCGCGCCCCCACGAGCTCCAGATATGGAAATTCGTCGCATCTAGAGACGTCGGTTTTGATGGCGACCTGAGTAGCAAGCGCGGGTAAGATGCGCCGTCCGACTCTATGGTCGCTTCACCTTCTACACGTTCCGCCGCAAGAAATGCGCGCGCAACGAGTTCGTTTCTCGACGGGGGGGCCAGACGCGGCATCCTGGAAAGCATCCCACGCAGCGCCCTGATCCTCTGGACGCCGCGCGGTCACCTCAGGAACATCAGCTTCACCACGCGCCCCAGCGCAGGGAAGTCTAGCGCAGGCGGGACGCCTTCGTCACCCAAGGGGGTCGTCCGTCATGAGCTGCTCAAACATGGAATGGAGATCCCAGCGATAGGACGCCCCCGCTAAAGGGCGCACATATTAAGTGCGAGGGGCGACTAAGGCACCATTGGCTGGCGGATCCCCCACCTGATCTCTCCAAGATGAATGCTCTCAACTCGCAGAGCACATATCGGACGGCCGCCCCCGAATCCTAGGAAGACCTGGTAGCAAGCAGCGAGCGCAGCATGTCCAGGTCTCCGAGATGAGGGCTGGACAACACAATCGAGTCCATAGCACCAGGCACGCGGAACTGCACGCGGATTCCCGCGAAGTCCCTGACGGTGTCGAGACGCTGCGGATCCTGGCCAGCAGCCACAGCAGGCGGGCATCGCTCGGGCCCGCTACTAGCGCTCGAAGGAGACCAATCCAACTTACTGAATGGAAGAAGCTCAGGCCGGGAGTAGTGACCGCCGCGTTGGCTGGAGGCTGCATAATCCCCAGCGCAGCATCAGCCCAATTCGGACTGATTGATTGTGCGCACCGCGCGCGAGGCCGCGTCACGCAACCTCCGTGCCCTCGAATGGAAGTGTCTGGCCAGGATCACGGCCATCAGGCGCATCGAGACCCGCACGGTCGCCAGCTCGCGCCGACGCAGCGGCTCGGGGCGCATCAGCTGCCGCCGAGGCCGAAGGGAAAGATTCATCAGAGTTCACGGAAGCAGCCTGGGAGTACATGAGCGGAACGAGTTTCGCCTCAGCCCGAGCCGAGTTCCCCGCGAGCACGCAAGGGTCCCGAAGGACTGGCCGGGGCTCAGACCGTCTCGTCTCCGCATGGTCTGACCATGCGAGGGTGGCAACTGTGCCCCGCAGCGCTACGCACGCAAAGCACGAATGTAGAAAGGTCTTCACCGTCATGATGACCCCTTGCTGTCCGAGCAAGAAATAATGACCTGAATCGCGGGGCTTCTGAACGCCGATGAAGATCCATGCAGGGGGCGCCCATTCACAGGCAGGAAGCTTGATCGGCGGGCAAGGGCCGCCAAAAGGGCCTCGGCAAGTGGCCGCCAAATGCGATCGTAAACAAAGCAATTCC